AGCACTAATGATGCAATTATAAAATTGCTAGATCTGCTTTACACAGCATTGGAAAAAAGAAATATCCACTAGGAATTTTTTATTGACCTAAGAAAGCTTTTGACACAGTAGACCATGGCATCCTACTCCACAAACTTGACGATTATGGTATAAAGGGCCCTGCGCTTGCATATTTCAAATCTTACCTTACTAATAGGTGTCAGTATGTCACCATTAAAGACGCAGCATCAACAACACGGCCACTTGATACTGGAGTTCTGCAGGGAAGTGTCCTTGGTCCCCTGCTCTTCCTCATATACATCAATGATCTTCCAAACGTATCCCAATGCCTGAACCCCATTCTCTTTGCTGATGCACGACTTTAAGTAATCTCTCACCCTAATCTTGCCACCCTCAACACCATTGTTAATGAGGAGCTGATCAAAATATCGACTTGGATGACAGCCAATAAACTTACGCTTAACACTGACAAAACCTACTACATTATGTTTGGTAGCAGAGCAGGAGATGCGCAAATTAACATTAAGATCGACAACACTCTAATTGCCAGGCATAATGAGGGCAAATTCCTAGGCCTATACCTCTACAACAACCTGAATTTCAGCACCCATATCCAACACATAACCAAAAAAGTATCCAAAACAGTTGGGATCCTCTCCAAGATACGATACTACATGCCGCAAAATGCCCTTCTCGCACTATACCACTCACTTATTTATCCATACCTCACCTATGCTGTTTGTGCTTGGGGATCAACTGCAGCAACACACCTAAACCCAATAATAACCCAACAAAAAGCCGCAGTAAGAATAATCACTAAATCCCATACCTGGCAACACACCCCCCCCACTCTTCACAGATCTAAACTTACTCCCTGTTCAGTACATCCACACTTACTACTGTGCAATCTACATCTACAGGACCTTAAATTCCAATATTAACCTTGACCTAAAATGCTTTCTTGATAGTTGTGACAGAACCCACAGGCATAACACCAGACACAAACATCTCTATGACATTCCCCGTGTCCGACTAAACCTTTACAGAAATTCAATGTATGTCAAAGGTCCTAAAATCTGGAACACCCTACCTGAAAACTCTAGAACTGCAGACATATTCACCACCTTCAAAACTACCATTAGAAAACATCTTATCTCCCTGATACACCCCGTCAACTAATTACACGAATACCACCTGGTGGTTCACACTTAAACTCACTCACCCATTTGACCATAAACAGAAATATCAATCTCAATCTTAAAATAATGAATCCTAACTAGTCATAAGTTGGCCTGTGATACTCCAATACTGAAACTATGTATTGTGCCAAAACAAAAGCATTCACATTGCTAAACTCACAAACTAGTATTTAGTCACTTAATACCAACTTACCTCATAATTTGTAATATTTTAAATTTAAGAATTAATCTAAGTCTGCCCGAAATGCCTAGCCATGCTAGGCATTCTAATGGCACCCTCTGTAATTAGTACTTTACTACATGTAAACCACACAATAACCAAATTCTATAAACTCAGCATTGTAATCCTTATAGAGAATAAACTTTGAATTTGAATAGCTTCGGAAGATTAAAATATTTTCCACAATAATAATAATAATTATAATAATAATAATTATTATTATTATTATTATTATTCTTTCAACACACTGGCCGTATCCCACCAAGGCGGGGTGGACCAAAAGGAAAAACGAAAGTTTCTCCGTTTACATTTAGTAATACAGTGGACCCCCGGTTAACGAACTTTTTTCATTCCAGTAGTATGTTCAGGTGCCAGTACTGACCGAATTTTTTCCCATAAGGAATATTGTGAAGTAGATTAGTCCATTTCAGACCCCCAAACATACACGTACAAAAGCACTTACATAAATACACTTACATAATTGGTCGCATTTGGAGGTGATCGTTAAGCGGGGGTCCACTGTATATACAGGAGAAGGGGTTACTAGCCCCATGCTCCTGGCATTTTAGTTGCCTCTTACAACACGCATGGCTTACGGAGGAAGAATTCTATTCCATTTTCTCATGGAGATAAGAGGAAATAAACAAGAACAAGAACTAGAAAGAAAATAGAAGAAAACCCAGAGGGGTGTGTATATATATGCTTGTACATGTATGTGTAGTGTGACCTAAGTGTAAGTAGAAGTAGCAAGACATACCTAAAATCTTGCATGTTTATGAGACAGACAAAAAACACCAGCAATCCTACCATCATGTAAACAATTACAGACTTCCGTTTTACACTCACTTGGCAGGACGGTAGTACCTCCCTGGGCGGTTGCTGTCTACCAACCTACTACCTAGGTATTATTATTATTAATTTAGGGAAGTGGAGCACAGATCCAATTCCCTTGATCAAGAGTCCCTCACCAAGGAATGCCCTTCCTCACAAGGTGGCGCATTCGTAAGCCGAGGTTCCACTGTATTTTCTTACTAGTTCTTGCTCTTTTTTATTTCCTCTTATCTCCATGGGAAAGTAGAACAGAATTCTTCCTCTGTAAGCCAAACATGTCATAAGAGGCAACTAAAATGTCAGGAGCAAGGGGATAGTAACCCCTTCTCCTGTATACATTATTAATTTTAAAAAAAGAAACTTTCGTGTTTTTTTTTTTTAGGTCACCCTGCCTCGGTGGGATATGGCCAGTTTGTTGAAAGATGATGATGTGTATTTATATATGTACATATATTACAGTAGTTTCTAATAATATTAGTATCACTGCATTGAGGTCCATTATTCATACTGTATGGATATACATAGAGATTAAATATATGTGAAATTTCCTGGAAGGACACCTGTGTACTCTGCAGTGCCTAAAATAACCAGTATAACTTGAAGGCATTGTTAAAATAAACACTTCTCCCATGAGATAATATCAGGCAACATCAGCTTTCAGTTCATCTATGTGATATGACAAAATCATTTTTATATATAAACTTTTATTATATTTTAAATATTACTTTTTAATTTCATTAATTCAAGTAAACATATTTCTTCCTAAAAAATGTACTTTAGTATTTGAAATTTCCAAGATCATTTAGTTGACCTAAAATATAGCTTTATTAGTTACCTTTGCTTAGTATTAAAAAGTTCCTAAAATAATAGCTTTTCTATTTTGAAATTTCTGCAAAGAAATTTCACAGATGTCACTGAAACAAAATAACTTGAAATTTTGCTACAGTGACAGAAATAATAATGTGTATATGTTAAACAATTCAGAAGTAGCAACACCAGTCTGAATTATCATTATTTCTTTAAAAAGAATACTTATGGATACACAGGGTATTTTGTATAGTGCTAATTACTTATACAGTGGACCCCCGGTTAACGATTTTAATCCGTGCAAGAGGGGTAATTGTTATGCGAAATAATCGTTATGTGAATGAATTTTCCCCATAAGAAATAATGGAAATAAAATTAATCCGTGCAAGACACCCAAAAGTATGAAAAAAAAAATTTTTTACCACATGAAATGTTAATTTTAATACACACAAACTGAAAAAGGCATGCACACTTACATGACACTTACTTTTATTGAAGATCTGGTGATGATTGATGGGAGGGGGAGGAGGGGGAGAGATTATCTTCTTACTGTTTAGAAGGGGAACCCCCTTCCATTAGGACTTGAAGTAGCAAGTCCTTTTCTGGGGTTACTTCCCTTCTTCTTTTAATGCCACTAGGACCGCTGAGAGTCACTGGACCTCTGTCGCACAAAAATCTGTCCATAGAGCTCTGTACCTCCCGTTCCTTTACGATTTGTCTAAAAAGGGCCACAACATTGTCATTGAAATAGTCACCAGCACGGCTTGCAACAGCTGTGTCGGGTGATTTTTCATCCCTAAAGGTTTGCAGTTCAACCCACTGTGCACACATTTCCTTAATTTTTGAAGTAGGCACAATGGATTCCACAACTGGCATAGGCTTCTCAGGGTTATCCCCAAACCCTTCAAAATCTTTCTTAATTTCCATACTAATTCTCACCCTTTTTACCACAGGGTTGGCACTAGAAGCTTTCTTGGGGCCCATGGTCACTTATTTTCCAGAAACAGCACCGAAAATACTGTAATAATACGAAATATTCCGAGTGTATGCTTGGATGTTACCGCGGAGGCTTGCTGGTAAACAATGATACGGGCGGCACATGTGAGGCTGGCTGAGGGCGCACATTGGACGCGTCTCGGACGAAAATCGGTGAGCGGGTTTTTAATCGGTATGCGCGGCAAAAATTTTGCGATTAAAGTAAGCGGTATGCGAAATAATCGCTATGTGATGCCATCGTTATGCGGGGGTCCACTGTACTAATTTCTCTATATAAGCATTAACATCATTATCATGCCATCATTTGACAATTTTTTTTTTTTTTTTTTTTGGGGGGGGGGGGGGGGGGGAAGAGCACTATACTTATAACAAATGAATGCCTTCATCTACTTTTCAAAACATCATTCAAGAAAATAAAGGGTGAAGAGTAAACTTTAGTTTGGCCTCTGATCATGCTTTTATACAAACCATATCAGAAGTACTTTTGCAAAATAGCAATATATGCTTCCTTTACATTAAAACATCCTCACTCACATTATTTATTTTCTTATACAGTGGTACCTTAAGTTATGAGTAGCTCCCAACCTGAACAATTATGTAAGTGTATTTTTGGGGGTCTGAAACAGATTAATCTAATTTTCATTATTCCTTATGGGAACAAATTTGTTCGGTATCGGCACTCGAACAGCCTTCTGGAACGAATTAAGCTTGTAACTCGAGTTACCACTGTATAACATTTATGAATTCCCAAATTTCAAAAGTAGTATAAAACTCGTAGCATTTTTTAACCATTTTCAATTACTGCAGTTTCCACCAGAGTTTATAATAATGATCAAATCAAATTAAGCACTAAACCCAAAAGGGTCATACAGTGCTGCCACCACAGAGTTGACCATGTTGTATTTTATGTTGTGTTAAAGAGAATAGGATAATAAAAGTCCTCAAAATAATCTTCACAAACTACCTTATCCCAGATTTAACAGCCTTTGTCTCTCTCATATGAGCCATTATATAAAGAAGCCAGTAGTTTTTATGATCTACAACTTATCACATATTTCCAACATTAATCTATAGGATGACTACATTGCTTTCATAATTATAAATTTAAAAGCAACAATTGGACTGCTAGTGATTATGACATGCAACATACATATTCCTAACTAACAGTCAAGAGTCATAGGCATTATCAATAATAGCAGTTTTAAATTTACATAGGAAATAACTCAAGGCCTTTTAAAGGCATTGTAGAAATCAGTCTTATATTTTCATAAAGTTTAAACTTTGCTAATATTATGAACCACAGAAAAGGCCAATTATGGTACTGTACAAAAGTACATTACTAGTAAAAAGATGTTTTTGTTTACTGTAATATACAGTCCATGACATGCACATTTTTATTTTCCCGCTCCTCTTATAATCTTACTGGCATTTATTAGACCATGAAGAGACAGATTTAAGGCTCTCTTTAAATTGGTCTTAAAAGAAAATATTAGTCATCAGCAACAACAATAATAATAATAATAACTTTCAAACCATTTGCTGTTTTAATTACAAGCCTTTTTGTCATTTTATCAACAGTGGTGCAGAGAGGACTGTAGACCCTCAGTCTTACAAAGACAAGTGGGAGACAAGTACACAATGCAGCTTCATCATTTAGTGTGGAATTGTTGGAGGCAAAGATCACAGGACCACTCTCCCTCAGGTGGTTCTTGAAGTGGAGGATGCAAACAGTAAAGGTGGTAACCTCGGTCACAGTCATCACAAAACAAAAGCTGGTCCTGCAAAAAAAAAAAAAATGTAAATATGTTAAATTAACACATTTGGAGTACATAATTTCCTGCACTTATATTCAAAATAAGATGGTATATGCATTTTTTTAACACACCAGCCGTCTCCAACACAGTTGGGGTAACAAGAAACACTTTCATCATCTCTCAAACTATCACTGTCTTGCTAGAGGTGTGCCAATACTACAGTTCAGATTTTCCTCCAACCCATCCTTAGCCCTATGCATTATAATTTTGGTAACCCCACACCATCTAAGCTCCATGCTCTGAATTCTCTGCCTAATATTCACACTACTCATTGCTCTCAAACATGACATCTCTACTGCTTCCAGCCTCCTCCTCACTGCAACATTTAAAGAACATGCCTCACACTCATTTAACTCCTTGAGGGTCCAAACCATAGATCTACGTCATGAGCTCAGCTCACTCTGATAAGCTGTGAGCGGTAAATTTTGGCCTTGATATGAGAGAATACATCTATGTGGTATGTGTGCACCACATAAAACAAATCCTGCAGCACATAGTGCATAATGAGAGAGAAAAAACTGAGACCGTAATTTTTTTATTAACCCTTTCAGGGTCCGTCCCATAGATCTACGGCTTTACGTTCAGGGTCCAAACCGTAGATCTATGCCAAAATTCTAGCGGAGTCAAATTTAGCACGAGAAGGCTGGTAGGCCTACATCTGAGAAAATGGGTCTGGGTGGTCAGTGTGCACGCCATAGAAAAAATCTGGACACCCGCATGGCATTGTGGGAATGCCGGCAAAGTAGCTTTGTTCACTGTGCCTGGCGGCAAGGAAGCTCTCACTCCCCACTATCTCTCCGGGCGAATTCTGACTCTCCTCTTCGCAACTTACAGTTCTAAGACTGATGGAAGTGGAGATGAAAACGAATTCTATGGTTTTGAACCATATGGTACCATTGTGCCATATGGTACTATGGTACCATATGGTACAATGGTGCCATGTCATACAATGGTATCATATGGTACAATAGTATCATATGGTACAATGATACCATATGGTACAGTGTACCATATAGTACATTGTACCACAATCTCTTAGTAATTAAATAATCAACTACCTCATTTTGTGATTTTACTAGTAAGCATAAGTCACCTTATGTGATTTTGTTATTTACTATTGTTCACTTAAACATTAGCTGAATTGATACTTTCTCTGTCCATATTACTACCTCATATTTTTTTAAATACTATCAATTGATATTACTTACTAAAATTAATAATTATCATTTTTACTAAAATTTCAATTTACTCTTAACATTTTTGATATTTAATAACCATTACTTGTCTAATTACCTTTACCTGTTTTAATACCACATTTACTATCTTAGATTACTCTTAATTACCTTGTACTGCCATATTACCTCAAGTATAACTACCAGTGCAATATTGAATGAAATAAACATAACTTTTTCACTTTTTTGTAATCATTATTACTTACTAAAATTTTATTAAACACCATATTTACTACCAGTCAGTTTTACTTTTGTACATTAAACATTATCTTATACTTCCCATAACATTTTGTTGACAAATTTTCAAGTTTGTATATTCAACCCCAACCTTTATATTATCCATTGTACCTGTGTACCTGGGTACCTGTCTACCATCTTACTATCATATTATAACCAAGACATTACCATTGTTATTTTTTTTACTATTATTCTTTTGGTACTTTAATTGTGAATTTTATTTTGTCAATTTAAATCTAGTTATAATCTTGATCTTGTTAACAACTTATACCAGACTCTAGTGCAATTGCAAGTACCATTTCAAATTGTATTTTTATATTATAAGTTTATATTATAATTCCTACCATCTGTCCATTTAACTTTGTTTACCATTACTTAATTTTAGTCCCTTATATATTTTCTCCTTTATTTTAGCTTTATATAACTACCCTAGTTTATATATTCACAATTGTTAAAATAATCAAGGTGCTATTCTCAGGTGCTAAAGTAGAATAAGTTCACAATTTTGCCATTATATTCCAAAGCTCATTTATTTGATTACCACTTTATTGTTCACCACAACCTATATTAGTCCCTTTTATATTATAATTTTATACTATAATTCTAACTTTAAAAAATTACCTTTATAGTACTACCTACTATCATATTCCCAAGCTCCATTATTTGATCATCACTTTATTTGTATTAGTCCCTTTATATTGGCTCCTTTATTTTAGCTTAAAAAAAAAAAAAAAAAAAAAAAAACTACCTTAGCTCATTATTTTACATTTGTTAAATAATTCAGGTGCTATTTTTTAGCTTAAGACTATTTACTTTGTTTTATACTTAATTCTAACTATAGATTCACTACAAATCTTATGATTACAAGCATTGATCCTGATACCAACCTCTTATTTAATGACTTAAATGAATCAAACAGTTACTGTAATTACTACACTGCAGAACAATCAAAGGCACTTCTCAGTGCCAACAACAACATAACTATCTTTAACTACAATATCAGATCTTTAAGCAAGCATTACGATGACCTCATAGCATTACTAAATTTCCTTACATGCCAATATGTCCATCATTACACTAACTGAAACCTGGCTAAAGCCTGATAGTACAGATGTCTATGCCATTCCTGGTTACCACAGCCATACACAACTGTAGGCCAGACAACAAGGGGGTGGCACAGCCATATACTACTCAGACCAACTAGAATGTATCACTAATACTTGCACAAGGGATGAACATGGGGAATTATAAATAGCTAAATTCAAATCCAAATACCTACAAAAACCTCTCACATTGATAAACATCTACAGAGTTCCACAGTCAAACATTAGCCAATTTAGTCAAAACCTAGGAAGTATGATAACTGATGCACGCAAGAACAAAGATCACTTACTACTCTCAGGTGACTTCAATTTAAATCTCCTGCAAGACCAGGACCCACACGTTACTGAATTCACAAACACAATGAGTAACTGTATGTTACTACCAACAGTAACAAACCTACAAGAGTTACAGAGACTAGTGTTTCCCTACTTGACCACATCTAGACCAACACCATATCCCCTTTAAAATCAGGCATAATTACAGATAATACCACAGACCACTACCCTACTTTCCTCATGACAACTCTTGGTAAACTACCCCAAGACACTACTAAAGTCACCTTCAGACTTCACAATGAGGCAGCCATTAATAACTTCACAACAGCAGTAGCAAACATTGATTGGCACACTGAGCTAGAATCTATACAGATATTGACGAATGTATTAATAATTTTCTAAAAAGACCCAATACCTCTATAACAAGCACTGCCCTAAAAAAACTAAACAGATGACAGCTAAGAGACTGAACAGTCCCTGGCTAACACCCAGCATTCTCAAATCCATAAATACAAAACACCAATATGAAAAACAGTACAGAATGGGTCACATAACCAGAGACCAAACAAAACGTTACTCGTCAATCCTAACCAGCCTGATAAGAAGGGCAAAAAAATTGTTTTTGAGAACAGATTATCCAACTTACGAGGTGATATAAAAAAGACCTGGAAAAACCTATCAGAAATTCTGGGAACAAAAAAAGATATCACAAAATAGCGAAATAAAATTAGCAAAATCAGATGAACCCCAACTCCCACCAACAGAAACAGCAAACAGACTCAATGATTTCTTCTCCACTATAGGACAAAACCTTGCCAATAAAATCCCAAGCTCAGATACCCCACCAAATGACTACCTCACCGGCAACTACCCGAACACACTGTTCCTAGCTCCGACTAACCATACGAAGTCTCCCTTATTATCAACGCACTAAAAACAAGGCAGGAGATTTAAATACCTTACCACCCTTTATATACAAAAAACTGTCACAAGTGCTATCACCATCATTGCAACACTCTTTAACAAATCCATTGAATCCTCCACCTTCCCTACAGTACTCAAAATAACAAGGGTCACCCCGATCCACAAAGGAGGAGACCAAACAGAGTTGAAATAACTATAGGCCAATATCCAACTTACACCCTCTCTCAAAAATCTTCAAAAAATTAATTCATAAACGAATCTACTCCTACCTTATCTCCCAAAACATACTCAACCCCTGCCAATTTGGATTTCAGGCCTAATAAAATACTAATGATGCTATTATTACACATGCTAGAACATATATACACTGCAATAGAGAAAAAGAAGTCCCACTGGGGATCTTCATTGACTTACGTAAAGCTTTTGATACAGTTGACCATGACTTGCTCCACGTAAAATTGTCACACTATGGTATAAGAGGGCACTCCCTCAACTACCTCAAGTCATACCTCAGCAACAGAAGCCAATATGTGTACGCAAATGGGGCAAACTCTTCTGCGCAACCAATTACAGTTGGTGTCCCACAGGGAGTGTCCTGGCCCTCTTCTCTTTCTCCTATACATAAATGACCTTCCAAATGCTTCGCAATTACTCAAACCCACACTATTTGCAGATGACACTACATACGTCTTCTCTCACCCGAGCCCAGTCACGCTAGCCAATAATGTAAATACCGAATTACAGAAAATATCTACCTGGATGAGGACTAACAAACTTACACTAAACATTGACAAAACCTACTTCATTCAGTTTGGTAACAGAGCTACAGATGTCCCTCTTAACATAATGATAAACGGATCACCTATCACAAAGCTAACAGAGGGAAAATTCTTAGGAATCCACCTTGATAATAGACTCAAATTTCATACACATATACAACAAATTTCTAAGAAAATTTCCAAGACTGTAAGCATACTATCGAAGATACGGTACTATGTTCCACAGTCAGCCCTCCTGGCCTGGTGGCCTGGTGGCTAAAGCTCCCGCTTCACACACGGAGGGCCCGGGTTCGATTCCCGGCGGGTGGAAACATTTCGACACGTTTCCTTACACCTGTTGTCCTGTTCACCTAGCAGCAAATAGGTACCTGGGTGTTAGTCGACTGGTGTGGGTCGCATCCTGGGGGACAAGA